ATTAATATTTAATTTATTAATCGATTAATTCAAATCTGATATTGCAGAGGTAAGGACGATTCTCCCCATCCAGTTTAAATGTTCAGTATTTCATATAAATCCAAAAATTACGTAAATAATATGAATCAAGGTTTACAAGTTAACATGTGTATTTACTTAGATTTATAAACTATAGGAATTTAATATATATATATATATAAAGGCAATATAAAATAAAAACTATGAATATAGGGAAATTTAATATAAACTTTAACTTCTTTTGTATAATACTAATAAAGATAAAGTTTAGCATGAACCCAAATGACCTCAATGATAAAGCAATTGTTGTTATTCTTTGAGGTCATGGGTTCGAGTATTATGAATATCATAAATACAAGCGTTTAATCTCAAAAAGTTGAAAGTTATCTTTGAACATATACTATCTTGTACTTACCTTAGATTATTAAAAAAAATTATATATAACACTATGTGAAGTTTTTTTTTAGATTTTGAGTTCGAGCAATGCATCTGTATGTTGTGCAATCGTTTGCATTGTGTACGTGTATTGTCGATGATTAGTGGCGAAATAAAAGAGCAACTAGTGAGGGCCAAGCCCCCTCAAAATTTTTAGAAATTTATATTAAATTTTAATTTTTTTGAATGTTCTTGATTAAAACCCTCCCATAAATTTTAAAAATTCTCATTAAGCCTCTTAAAATTTTAAAAATTTTAGTTAGTCCTTATTTTTTTAGAAAAAAATGTAAACTAAATCCTTTTAAAAAATTAATAATTTAATTTAAACCTTTGAATTTTTTAAAGTTTTAAGTTGGCCCCTCAAATTATATCACCAAGTTTCGTCATTGTCAATGATTAAGAAATATTCTGAATAAATATTACATTTATAACCACACTAAACTATTAAAAAGAAGAGTGTTCATATTTAAACTCAAAACACAATATTAATAAGTATACTCATTTACCACTACATTAAATCAACTAATATATATATAAATGGCTGTCCCTTTTTCCCATATGTATGGGATAAGGGGGAGGTAAGATAGTAGGCTACCCCCAACACCAGGTTGAGAGCAACTTCCGTAAGAGACCTCCGAATTATGAAATGCCCTCCGTGGGACTCGATCACATGACCTCAAGGTTAAGAACCTTGTGCTCTACCTCCGTAAATCAACTAATATATATAATATATTAAATCCAAAATTTGAAATTCACAATTTTATTTCCATTTAAGAAACATGCCATTATTTGGTAATAATAATATAATTATAGAAAGATAAGTCATTGTTATATTGGCTAACCATGAAAGATAAAAAAAAATGGTGAAATGGTAATTGACTAATATATTATAAAAATGTAAAATAATTGGCTTACTTTGGTTATAAATCAAAATATAAATCCTTAAAAACTCAAAATAGGAAAGAGATCTAATTTCACAAAATGTCTTAATCTATTGTCCAAATAATAAATTAATTCTTAAATTTCAAAATATTTTAATTTAAGTCCTCATTACTGTATCATTCATTAATCAATGTTTGCATCGATCAATATTTGTTGCTTTAGTCATCAAATGTTACTTATGACGATATCATATTCGAGACCTAATATCAACTATAGTTCATTTCAACGTAAGTTTTTTTTTTCATTGTACCACGAGTTTGGTTAACCATATGAACGATAAAATATATAGTTCATATTCGTATTATATTTAAGTTGTCATGTGACGTTCGAACTAATAGTAATCTTGACAAAAGGATATAATTGGTAAGATTGTAAGTTTGAGAACCCTAGGGTTTAGGGTTTTCATCAGATCAGCTCCCGTCACCGCTAGCAAGGCCTATCGCCGACGTCAGCCACTGCCAAGCCGAGAAGCAAGCCGCTGTCGACGAGCCTCCGATTGCGTCGATCAAGCCACCCTTGTTCAACCATTAACCAAATCCAAACAAATCACAAAACAAATAAAAATCACACCAAATCCCAACCAATGCAGGAAAATCCAGGAGCCATCATTGAATTTACCAACTCTCAACCAAAACAAATCCTCACCACCATAAAAATCAAAGTAAAAAAGGAGAGTTGAGTTCGAACCAGGGAGGGGAGATCCCGAAAAAAAAAGAAAAGAAAAGGAAATCGAATAGGAACAGAATAAAAAAAGGGTTCGAATAAAAACAAGAAGAAAGAGGGGACCCAGCTTTATGAAAAAAACAGAGGGAAACTTTTCAGATAAGAAAGAGAGAGATCATAAATAAAAAAGAACGTTTTTTAAAAAAAAAAAAGAAAAACAAAAAAGAGTGAAAGAAATCGCCCCTCTCGGTTAGAACCCATTTGGTCGGTGGTGAAAGGAAGCGTTCGGGGACTCCGTTGACATATATGAACGGTGAAAGGACAGAGAGGAAGACAGTGGACAACATATCTCAAAACCATGACAATCCAATGACGGACGACGATCGATCAGAAAGATGAAAGTCGTACGGTCTTTGGCTATTTTGCGACGATCGGAGCATCCCTTGCCTAAAAGAACCCCATATCCTGACTCCCCTCATCGATATGAGTCTTTCGGTGTGACTTGGTGCCCATCAGTGGCATCGGACGGCGGTTGTCGGTCGATCGAAGGCCTTAACCGATGACACAAAGAAGGGAGAACTTCTCTCTCTAAGGAAGAAAACAAAAGAAAATAAAATAAACTGGAAAGAAAGAAAGAAAGAAAAGGGGTATTTACACCTCATTCAAAACGATGTCGTTTTGGTACCTTTGAACTCGCGTGTTTTGGACTTCCATGGGTAAATTCTCTCCTCAATCCCTCTAGGTTTTCAAAAAGTTCATTTTAGTCCTTATAGCGTGAAATCTGGTTTAATTCTTTGTAGTTTGGCCTCTAGATTTCACTTTAATGCAATTTAATTACTTTTCGAGATTTTATTGACCATCTAATGTGAATCTTTTATTTTTCACATGTTCATTTTAGTCCTTCTTTGATCTTTATGTGTTTAATATCATTTTTAGTCCATGTATTCTTTTGTTTTTGCATTTTTATATTAAAGTTGTCATTTTTTTTATTATTTAGTCATTCTTTTGGTGCTTTGGTTTATTTGCATGCTTGATCATAGTTATTTCTGTCATGATTTGGTCTAATCCTTTTTAAATAATTAATATATATTGTTTAGCTCCTATGTTTTTGTTGGTCATTCATTTTAGTTTTTACTTTTATATATATTTACACATATGTATAAATTTTTAGTGATGTTTTCATTATGTTTTATTAGATATTAAATATAAATATATGGTAATATTCTTTGTACGTGTTTTATAAAGTGTGACCTTTTTTATGTATTATGCATATATTTTCATTTGTTTATAAATTTGGTTACTTGGCATCCTATGAATGTGCAATTTGGTACATATAACTCTAGGGTTTATTTTAAATTAATATGTATGTTACCCTCTCAAGCATTGCTTGAATTTGAATCAAATAATGTGATTAAATGTAATATATTTTTAATTTAAGTTCATTGTAAGTGATCGTCTTAATGAATTAGAGGTCACTTCCAATGGCTTAAAAAAAAAGGGTATCCTATAAGCGAAACAAATAAAATTGTTTTCATTTAAAATTTAGGATTGAGAAAAAAATTGTGTTATTTTAATTAAATTCACTGAGAAAAAACTGTTAGAATGGATCTAAGGACTAGTCTCGATGTCTTTAACTGTTAGAATGGATCTAAGGACCAGTCTCGATGTCTTTAAATAATTGAATATTCTTATTCTTATTAAAGGTTGATAAAATAATTAATTAATCGTATTTGTTTGATATATATATTTAATTTTCACATCTTATTTTGTATGTGCTTAAATGGGATCTCAAAATAAATTATATTTGAACGTATAAATTTATTGTAAGGACAACTAATTAATTAATTTGGTATCGATATAGGGCGTTGTGGGGGTGTTAATCCTTCCCCACGCGTAACCGACTCCGAAACTCAAATTTTTTATAACGCAAATCGTAAAATTTTTGTATTAATTAAAATTAATATTTTTATTAAAATGATAAATATTTATTTGGGTGTCCAATCATACCATAAACAAAGATTAGTGACGAGTAATACTCGTTTATCAATGGACACGTTTCATTTTTTGTCCCTTTCTAACATTAAACATTTAATTTAAACCTCTGAACTCTTTAGCTAAGTGGGGAATTTATATTTTTGGTCCCTCCTACTATACCATTTTTAAATAACTGTTTTAGTATTGACCCACCAAAATTGTATCATTTAATTTCGATCCCCTTCTAAGTTATTAACTTTGTTCATATTCTTAAAAAATTAAATATTTAATTTAAACCTCTGAACTCTTTAGCTAAGTGGGGAATTTGAAATTTTTGTCCCTCCTGCTATACCATTTTTAAATAACTTTTTTAGTATTGACCCATCAAAATTGTGTCATTTAATTTCGATCCCCTTCTAAGTTATTAACTTTGTTCATACTTTTAAATAAATTTAGAGTTTGAATATTATGAATAAAAAATACAAGAGCTTTATTTTATATTAAAAATTTCGACTTATTTCGATTTCAGATATAATAATAATTGCATGGATGAATACATGATTTTATGCTAGATGTACGAACTTAAGAAGTTATATTGGATATTTAGGAGTGTTATTTTTTAATAGTCTGAAGTGATTATAAAGTATTATTTGTTCAAAATCTTTTGTAGTCATTGACAACACACGCACACTACAAAAACAACTAATTGAATTTGAGATCTCTAAAGAAAACAACACTATCTTTTATCACTGAGATCATTCAATAGATTCTATGAATACAAAATTAGATCTTTGACAAAAGATTAATAAACTACGTTAGAATTTAAAATTTTTAAAGATACAAGCGAACTCCTGAACATCATCTCGATCCATCCCCAAATAGGTCATTTCGATACAAAATAAAAAATAATAATAAATAAAAGTTGTTGTTATGCGGCTCCAAAACTCTTCGTCCAATTCAAGAGCCAGCCACCACCACTCGACAAAACACACAAACAAATCCCCTCACAAACCAAAACTCTGAATCCCAAAGCCTTATTATATAACAAGCTCACTCTCCCTTTTCTCTGTTTGTTTTCTTGAGTGCTGAAACAACAACAACCATCCATTTCTCTACGTCTTTTCATAAGTATAATTCTGTTAGCCCTTTGTTAATTTTTCTCTCATCAATGGATTGTTGGTCTCCTTCTTTAACTGTGGATGAAGAGTTCGAGAAGCTCGTCATTCGTATGAACCCCCCGAGGTATAATTCTTGGTTTGAAACCGTTTTTGTGTTTTTGGGGTCTTGGGGTTGTTTTAATTGGCCTGAAATGGCGAAGGTTTCAAGAATTTTCTATGTTATTGTTGGTGATTTGCAGGGTTACCGTCGATAATGCCGCGAGCAGGAAAGCAACTTTAATCAAGGTTGAAGAACGATTGGACTTTATTGAGATTGTTTTTTTTTTCAGGGGCGATTTTGTTGAGGATTTTCAGAATTGTTTGCAGGTTGATAGTGCTAATAAGAGAGGGAGTCTTCTGGAGGTGGTTCAAGTGCTAACCGATTTGGATCTTATGATTCGACGAGCTTACATTTCTTCAGATGGAGAGTGGTTCATGGATGGTATCTGCCTCTTGGTTTTCGGATTCTGTTTGGTGGAAATTGGTTGTTGATTCCATGGATTTTTTGTTCTGATTTGGGTCTTTTTTCTTCTTCCTTCAAATGGTTTGTTTTCGCAGTGTTCCATGTCACCGATCAACATGGCAATAAACTATCTGAAGTAGATGTTGCAGAGAAAATTCAGCAGGTAATTCTGCAAAGAAAAAAAAAAGAACCCCAGAATTTTATCTTGTAAAAATTCATCAAATTTTGGATACTTAGCTGAATTTGAAACGTGAGGTACTCGAATTCGGATGTGAGTGTCAGATATAGATATATATTTAACACATATCCTCTTCTTCGCATGTCAGACACGAGTACTTCAAAGAAAAATGAAGAGTTCGAGTAACTTACCTGCAATAAGACTGCAAAAAACTCATTCTCAATTAGCCTTATTGCAGTCTTTTTATGCTCCACTCAAATTTCAATCATAGATATTGCCGAGTTTTTATGTGAGGTAAACTGAAAATTCGAATGTTCAGTGTACATATCTGGTTGCATGCTTCTGACAAATTTGAGTCAAGTCGAGTCGAGTCTTCTAGCATAACCATAATCCTTTTTTTTGTGTATCCACAAATAGATACAATGTTGGACAAAATAGTGGCAATGTTTGCTGTATGTCTGTACAATTATGATGGTTTAGCTACATGTTATGAGTCATGTGAGTTACATATAATTCGATGATTAATTCGACATGTTTTCAGCAACTGGGACCGAGAGCATACAGCTTCCGGTCCTTGGCAAGATCTGTGGGTGTTCAAGCCGTCTCAAAACAGACGATTATTGAATTGACCGGGAGAGACCGCCCGGGCTTGCTCTCGGAGATTTTTGCTGTTCTGACCGACCTTAAGTGTAACATCGTGGCTGCCGAAGTATGGACCCATAATTCAAGAATGGCATCTGTTGTATATATTGCTGATGAGACGAATGGATCGTCAATCGATGATCCCGAAAGACTAACGAAGATCAAGCAGCTTCTCCTCTATGTCCTCAAAGGGGATAGAGATAAGAGGAGTGCTAACACCGCTGTTTCTGTGGGCTCGATGCATAAGGAAAGGAGACTGCATCAGATGATGTATGCTGATCGTGATTACGATATGGATGATGCTAACATCGGATCAACAGGAGAACGGAGTAAACCACTAGTAACTGTGGAAAATTGTGAGCCTAAAGGTTACACCGTCGTGAACTTGCGGTGCCCTGATCGGCCTAAGTTACTCTTTGATACGGTTTGCACATTAACAGATATGCAATATGTCGTATACCATGCGACTGTCATAGCAGAAGGACCAGAGGCTTATCAGGTTTCCCCTCATTATATTTTATGTTAATTCACTTAGTAATTCCTATTTGTTCGTAGATTATAATCGATTTCGTTGATCGGTAGGAATACTATATCAGGCACATGGATGGTTGCCCTATTAGTTCCGAAGCCGAGAGACAGAGGGTAATTCATTGTTTGGAGGCTGCTATTAAGAGGCGAGCTTCCGAGGTACGGAGGCGGGGAAATCTCGATTACATTCCTAGTTTTCTATTCATTTTGCTAGCTTGTATTGATATCAGTAAGTTGTTTGTGATGTGCAGGGCATAAGATTGGAACTCTGTAGCGATGACAGGGTCGGCCTTCTATCGGATGTAACTCGAATATTTAGAGAAAACGGCCTTTCCGTCACACGAGCAGAGGTCACAACGAGGGGATCCCAGGCCATAAACACATTTTATGTTACCGATGCGTCTGGAAATCCAGTGAAAAGCGAAACGATCGAATCAGTTCAGAAAGAGATTGGCCTTACCATACTTCATGTGAAGGACGAAGCGTACCCGAAATCTACTCCGCCACAAGAGAGTAGGATATTCTCGTTGGGAACTCTATTCAAATCTCGGTCGGAGAAGCTTCTTTACAACCTGGGACTGATAAAGTCATGTTCTTGATGCTTTCGGCTCGGATTAATTGGTAGGTTTATGCCTCAGAAAACCAAATTTCAAAGTGTAGATCGTTGGTTCTTAGACATAGACATTTTAGCTTGTAAAGCTTCCATGTAAATATTTTTCCCCTCATGTTCTTCAAGAGTACTGTAAATACATCTGTTTTAGACATTGCCAACAAATTAACTGTGTTAGCTTATGATTGGAATGTGTTCTAAGGTGACATTGGATGGATTCTGAAGGGACACACACAATGATTGGAATTCAAAATCCATTTAATCTAGAACCTTCACGTCAGGTAAACTAATTCGAAGATCGGAAAAATAGTGACGGATGAACAACTAGGATTAGGCTTCAGACATCGGAAGCTCACCGCAATCATTGATAACCACCTTCTTTCTAGAACGGTCTCATTGATCGGTCTCTCGGGATTCTATGAGCTTATCGACGTCCATGCCTTCAAAAACCTGCCGGAACACGACATGCCTTTAAGCCGACCATGGTGTCTGCAATTTTCCCAGAGTTTGAGCAGCTATATATGTAATTGATAATCCAACTATAAGGCTAAAAGGAAGCATTGAGAACAATTGCCATTTTAATCATATGTACTACTTTGAGAATGATTTTCATGTTCAGATATCAAAATGGTTTAAAAATAACTTAGGTACGTATTTGCAAACAATTGCAAAGCTTAGGGGCCATTTGTTAAATTAAATTTTTTAAAATATACTTTATGTCACCGTTCCAACCTTTAACGTTTAAGCTAATTACTAGACCGTCCGGACTCTAGAAGGACCTGGTTGATATTCACAAGAACTTTAAGGATTCAAATAAAATATTATAAATTAAAAAAAAACAATTTAAAGTCATTGATCGTAATTTGGGGATGTCTTTTGTAATTAACCCATATTTTAATCATTAGCTTTTGATTGTATTGGTGTCACACTTCGATTAGCTTAGTTGATGCCTAGCGGTATCTATTCCTTGGAGTACTATTTTTGGCCATCTCCTTGCCGATTAATTTCCTTTAACGAAGAAATTCGAACCCCAAACTCTAAATTTCATCAACATCGTTTTTTTGTTGTTGAAAATATTCATCATCATCAACATCGTTGAAGGAGAAAGGGTATGTTCTTCTTTGATATTCCATCGATTAGCGTTAGCTTCCCACTTTCCAACATCTTTTTGTTTGTATGTGTGTGTAATTTTTGTATGTTTGAATTAGATTTATCGATTTGTTTTGTTGTTTTATTTATATATACTTTAATTTATTGTTTTTTGACAAATTATTAGTGATTTAAGTATCCGATTTACGTTGTTTTCAAGGACAAACCTACTGTAAACATTTGTTTTTTATGCTTCTATGATTTAATATGAAACTGGGTTTTCTTTGAAATTACTGAAATCATTAACAAATATGTTGTTTCCTTTTGGTGATCGTAGAAAACGTGAATTGAAGAAGGAAAGATCAAAGATGTTGGGGATCGCAAGGCAAAAGGTTATTTTCTGGAAACTCAGCTGCTCTCTTATATATGAATATGAAAGGATTTTTATTTTTTGTTTTTAATTTTATGACTTAATTTCTTTGCACCAGATGTTGGAGCAGTCATTGAAGAAGATTCGGCCTGCGGTGTCTGTGTTGAGAAGTTACTCATCTGATGCGAAACAGGTAAAAAAATTCACTCATTTTTTGATGCAGTTCTTTAAATGTTTTGATTTTAATGTTATTAGATGCCGAATTGTGTCTTTCGAGTGTTAATCCATTCGAAATGGAGTAGATGTGTGTACGATCTTAGGAGCTGCTCTGTAGGTTGGTTGCTTGTATGTTGGGATGGAACGACGGGGCTGGCGGGGACGATTGCCCCTGAACAATTTAAATTCTCATATAATTTAGATATTTTCTATTGATAGTCTATTTTCGCCCCCTCTAGCATAGAATCATACGTCCGTCTTTGCTTGTATGTGTTTGCCCAGTGCAGACACACATATGGCTATGGTCCTGTTATTAATTTTAAGCTGATCTTGTGATCATTATTGTCTGCTGAAGGCAAGGCTTAATTTTTTTCCTCTAATGACAATCATGTGCAGATGAATATGAGAGGGGCGTTAAACTCTGCACTTGATGAGGAGATGTCAGCTGATTCGAAAGTCTTTTTGATCGGTGAAGAGGTGAGAAAATGTTAACGATGATCAATTTTTATTATTCTAGCCAAATTTTCAGCTATTCCTTTTGCTTTTACTTCCATTCTCATGTTTCTTTTTTTAATATAAAATGCAGGTCGGAGAATATCAGGGTGCATACAAGGTTGACATTTTTGTGCAAGAATGAAATTCTTATTTCATCATCTTTAAAAGAGGCCATAGGAGCATTTTTACATCTCTCTGAAGATTGTCTTTTGTTTCCATCCTTTTTAGATAACCAAGGGGCTTCTGGACAAGTATGGACCCGAACGGGTTCGAGACACTCCAATTACTGAGGTTATTTTGTTCTGTGGCTTTTCATATTTGCATGTATTGATGCCTTGTAGTTTCTTATTGCACTTTTCTTTTCTCACCACAGTTTTTTATATCTTGTTTCATAGGCTGGTTTTACTGGGATTGTGGTCGGGGCGGCTTACTATGGTCTGAAACCCGTCATGGAGTTTATGACGTTTAACTTCTCGATGCAGGTTCGAGAGTTCTGTCTCTAATCTCTGCTTATGTACACCTATATTAGTGTTTTGTTTACCATATACATCATCGCATGCTTGGTTGAAGATGATGATGTTAACAATCGATATCCTTCTAAGTCTGTATGAATGAATATGCATATTTTTTCTGAAGTCTGACATACTGAAGAACATAAGTGGTTTCATTATATGATAATAGGATTTGGATGTTCAATAGAGTTAATGATTTGGATGTCATTTATGTATGCTAGTATTTTATGATCATTTCGACTCTGGTTTCTCTCAAATGTGTTGTTATCAGATCTTTTATCTGTTTTGAGAGGTCCTAATTGTTAGGACCGTCGGCGCACCCCATGGCGCAGCGGAAACAAAACTCGACGGTCTCACCAGCGATCCAAGTACAAAAAACTGAAATCGGGAGGAAGAGATGCGAATACTTAAAGCGGGTTCCTTGAAAAACAGCAAGGAAAGCAGTGAATTCTGGTGGTGTAGATCGGTTCGAATCGTAAGCCTCCACGAAATCACGTCTCGGCCTCTACTCAGTTCACCCGATTGAGAGCAATTTTGTTTTCCCCCAAAACAGTTTTGAGAGAAAGTGGCTGAAGGTTTTGTGTGTGTTCTCCCCAAAACGGCTGCTAGACCTAACACACCCTTTTATAGCCAAGTTAACCTAGTATATTAGGGTTTTTATTATTTCAAATTAATTAAATCTATATTTAATTAATTAGAATTTAATAATCCTTTTATATTCAAGTTACCCTAATCATATCAGGGATTTTATTATTTAAAATTAATTAAATCTATATTTAATTAATTGAAATTAAATATTTAGGATTATTAAAATATATATACTTAATTAACTCTAGATATATTTTAGTAACGTACAACAAATTGTATATTTTTGCTCGTTTCAATCTTAGGGTGTGACCCTGTAGGTTCTTGTAACATTAGAAGTAATTATTAGAACAATTCTAATATTACATACAATGAGTGACATCTAGCAATATATCATTGTCACCTAAGTTACAAGAAAATATGATTCGATATATCATCTTGGTGATTAACTCTTTTATGTATTATATCCTTATGTCCTTTATATCTAGAATAGGCACAAGTCTTGGAATAGTCACACTTGTATAGCCCATCTATTGTTTCTTGATTTCTAGAGTAGACTTTAATTAACGAATAGTTTATGATATCTCATATCAATTTATTCGAGCATGGCCATGCGTTTCTAGTCTTACTCAATCAAGAGGCCTATGATATATTTCCTATTATGTAGGAAGGACACATCATATCTTAATCATACACACCCACTACATATATTGAGATATATTCAATAACAGTCTTTATAGAGCAACCAGTTACGGAGCTTGTTTAGTTGCATCAAAACATACAACAATATATGTTGGGATAGTATTGATCTCAAGTCTGAGGATCATACATATAGCCATCACTATGAGTAATGTTATGACTGTCACATAATAATCCAAGACATATGCTCATGGTGGGTCAATCCAATACATTGTTCTCTAACAATATAATCATGTATTAATTCTGACATCTCTATGTCAATGACAGCTCGTTGTCATCAATCAATAACATGTTAGTCTTGAGCGTATTATTATTGTCCATGCCCATAATAATACTTGACTAGAGATCTTTTAATAATAACAATTATGTCATTATATGGACTTTATTATCTTCCAGTTTATGTTAAACACATATATATAACTGAAAATAATAGCGGCAATGCCTTTATTCAATAAAATCGGTAAATAAGTATTATTACAATCATCATATGATTGGTCTTTGGGCATACTCTAACACTAATGGTGCCGCAGCCGGTGTTGGTGCCCAACACTCTCAGGTTTGATTTCTTAATACTGTTCCTTGCACTGTTTATCTGGTTTATTTACATTCATCTACTTTCTTTTGTTCCAAGAGTCCACCGAGGTTAAATTTCGAGTTACATTGTTCTAGGTCTTATGATGCTGTTTACTTGTTTCCATATTTTAGAAATCGAGTTGAGTTTCGATCGAGTAAGAAGCTTGTTCAATTGTTTCATATCTTGGTTACTTTTCAGTGTTATGCTGCGTGGTATGCTACTTATCCTGGGTTGAAAGTGCTGTCATCATACAACTCCGAAGATGCTCGTGGACTGCTCAAAAGCGGCTATTAGAGATCCCGACCCAGTTGCTTTCCTCGAGAATGAGTTGTTGTAAGTGAATTAGTGAACTCTGACTCTTTCTGTATTGATCGACTTTAATGCATGATGCTACTTCGGTATAATTGTTATCCTTCAGATACGGTGAATCATTCCCGATTGCTGATGAAGTTCTGGATTTTAGTTTTTGCCTTCCAACGGAAAAGCTAAGGTAGTTCTATGGTCCCACCTAAAATTTTCCATTGATTCTGCTATAACTTGATCTCATGAAGCTGCATTTTAATACATGTACATATATAGTTTTTAACCACTACTTTTAATAGATGGAGAGAAAAGGAAAGCATGTGACTATTGCGGCTTATTCGAAAATGGTGGGCTATTCTCTTAAGGTATGTCTTGTATGCAATATCTGTTTCGATATGCAAATGCGTAACTATCATTCAAGAAGATTGATCTTGTAATGAATGGCCAAGGAAATAACTATGAGTGTGTTTAACCCGATGCATATCGGTATTCGTTGCCGTTGTGCCTTAGGCGGGAACTTCATTTATCCATGTTATCACCTACCAATATACCAGATAATTGTCCTTTATGTAAGTAGTACTGATATTTTTGCTTGTGGGATTATCTTCTAAGGGATTGATTGTTGTTCAGGCAGCTGAGATACTCTAAAAGGATGGAATCGATGCCGAGGTAAAAATTATAACTCAAAAGTAGTGCAAGTCCTTACAAGTGCAATGACCGATCTTCGTTAAATACAGGTTGTAAATTTGCGTTCGATTAGGCCGCTAGATCGATCCACCATTAACAACTCTGTCAGGAAAACCAACAGATTGATCACAGTCGAAGAGGCATTTCCGCAGCACGGTGTCGGTGCTGAAATATGGTTCGAGTTCTTTTCCCTTAAAACTCTTTTAATTTCTGCTTAACATATATTATGGCACCTTGTATATATTTACACGGTGTACTTCGTTTGCAGTGCATGTGTCTTGGAAGAGAGTTTTGCATATCTCGATGCACCAGTCGAGAGAATTGCCGGAGCCGATGTTCCTATGCCGTATTCGGAAAATCTCGAGAGAATGGCGGTGCCACAGGTGATTCCATTTCTCCCTATTCTTGTACAATTACTATTAGATGAAGAAAATTGCTGCAAAGAGAGCATGCTACAGATCGGTACCATCGGCCGCCGCTGCTTAATCGAAACCAGTTCGAGCAGCAAACATTTTCTAATACAGGTTAGTGTCGATGCTGGCCCCTTGCATCATCTTAATCTGTAAATGGCTTAATATACTATTTGGTCCCAGGAATGAAGCACAACGCCGTTAGGGAGGAGCTGCATCAATTTAATAAGTGGGAGGAGATTGTTAGAAATTTGGTGATATTGTGATCATTAAACCTTGAGATAGGTTTTATTTTTTGTTTCGTACTTTAATGTTCCTAAATTACAACTTTTAATGTATATTTAGAGGCGAATAAAACTTGACTTGAAAAAAAAAATTGTAATTTAATCTGATATTAAAAAATTTGATTTGACTCGATTTATACTTTTATAAACTCAATTAAACTCGAATTTTTTAAATAAATTTAAGTTATAGAATAAGATTACAAAGTTTAGTAATTAGTATGTTGATTTTCAAGTTTTAAGTTGAGTCTCTCATCTTTACAAGATATATATATCAGATGTGAAAAAAACTTGAAATATATATGAATATTGTATATGATTATAAAAATTCATTTAACTCGAAAATTCTTAAATAAAGTATCACTATGGACGATAATTTAACTCAAATTAGATGAGTTTAGACCCATTCTTCAGGTTGAGTTAAATCGGATATTATAAAAGATGACATCAAATTAAATTTGAATTTAAGATAAATTTTTTTTTGATTCAACCCAAAATAATATGATTTTCTTTTATATATTTAAAGGTAATTACTCTAATCTTTCTCTCTCTTTTAATTAGGTCTTTATTTTATCAGATGAAAATATTCTTTCATATTTATATTAAAACAAATCAAATATAAATTTTTATTCTAAAATTTGAATCATGTTTCAAATCGTATAAAACCTCTCTAAACTCGTGTTAGGATGTCATCATCCTAAACTTGAGTAAAGTTAGGTGGAGGGGTATATTACATTTCATCATCCTAATATTATCCCCTAATCAAAAACCCTAAACATCTCCCACTTGCTTGCCTTAGCTCAGAATCCAACACTCCGTTGGTAGCGTTAAGGGAAAGAGTAAAAATACTCTGTGAAATAGTAACTTTTGCCCTATAATAGATTTAATTTATCATTTTCACTCATATTATATTTCTGAATCAATTTAACCCTCAAAGTTGTTCAATTACATCATTATATACCTCACCTCTAACTTAAAACCCTAAAGTGATTTGAGATTTAAGATTATTAATTTAGAGTTTACAGTTAAAAAATAGAATGATACAATTAAACAACTTTAAGGACAAAATTAATACGAAAATATGATAAGAACAAAAATGATAAATTGAGTCTACTACCGGAACAAAGTTGACCCTCAAGCCAAAATACTTCAATTTGATGGAACTAGCAAGCGGAAAATACTAAGATCATATAGAAAATGCTAAGCTACACGTTTAGATGTAAAAAAAGAAATATTTACAGCACAATCCATACAAAGATCATTCACTCTCACTACACAGCTTCTAATCATCAGGAGCTTCCGTAGCCTTCACAAATCGACCTTTAACCCGCTTCCGTGTATCCGCTCTTTCCTTCCTCGATTCGTATCGAATGTGTTTATCATACCTGTTTGGACAATGGAGATTGTCGTTAACAGCACCGTGACATTTCGTTATAAATCCTCAATGCGTCATATTAAAAACAATCTTCAAACGTTCTAATTGAATTTTTAAAGTATCAGTACTATATCAATCAAGTCCTTCCATCAGCTTGGAAGTAAGCGTAGGCGTTAAATGTCAGTGCAGATCTGTCATGTAACGATTTTAAAACACGCAAATCAAATAAACATGTTTACCTATCGTATACTATAGACAACTTGGATCACTATATTTTTTTACAAGTGAGATCCAAGTAGTTTACGCGATAGGTAAATGTGTTTATATAATTCAGGTGTTTTAAATTTACTCCATATTTGAGCTGGCATTTAAGTCGAAGCTAATAACAAAGCTAAAGAAAGGACCTGATGGGATACAAAACTAGAGCTTTTGAAGTTCAAGACAAATTTAGAATCTTGGTCACAGAAACAAGATACAAATAAAATAAAAAAAACCTTTAACAGGTGAAATTACGTAGCTAAGCTTAAGTGTAAGGATTTTTGTACCTTCGTGTTTTCTTCTTCTCCTTGTAACGCTGCATGGCATTGCCTCGGTTCTGCCCCAGCAACTCGCGATCAGCCTTACTAATTGCTGTTGGCATTGCTTGCTCAACCGGCCTCACAAGGAAAGGTTGTTCGGGGAAGTTAACATCATTGGAACTGCTAGACCCTTTGTGTTTACCCAAAGCTGAACCCGATGATGGCTTTGGTAGTGGTAGATTGTTGCTCTCAGATGTGGCTGGTCCACTTGCACCTGGGTTATTTGTGTCGTTCTGCATTTTCAAGCTCCAAAATCAACACTCAAAAGAGACTTTAATGTAAGCAAAACAAAGTTAACCTTGCTGTATCTAGGGGAGGAGGGGATTGCCGAGTAGTGCAACAATTCCCAATCAAATTTCCAAGTTTATTTGGCATCAAACAAAGATAACACAGACCAAATAAACAAACCTTGTGAAATAATGGAAGAACTTTTCCCGTTTGGCATCTGACCTGATTCAGTTCTAGAATAATCAAAACCCAACATGACTACCAGATACTTGAAGATCGAGAGCCACCCTTAAATTCAAAAAGGGCATATATTCACTTTTGCTTTTTTTCCTAGGACTCCCAGTTAAGCCATATTTCAGTCGGATCGGACCCAAACACAAAATACTCTCCCATAAACCATTTTCAAGGTTTGAACCTTTGTTTTCAAGTGTCAATAGGAAGCCTCAACCATTACTCCAAGAGAAGTGTTATGATAAACGATGTATTAAATTTATGTTTCTGGCCACATGATAAATTCACAGAAACTCCAGTAATTATGAACAAGAAATCACAAGAAAAGACGAATCATAACACAATAGTGAAAATAGAGAATGAGCAAGGAACATACATTATTGAGTGAAGTCAAATCATGTTTTGGAGGGGGGTAGCCTAGCAAATTTGCATTAGTGCCTTGGTTAAAATTGTTAATCAAGAAACCTGTATGGCTTCTGCCGTACCCAACTTCATCTTCCAATCTGGATTGCCTGCACTCTTCTTGACCCCTCAACCGCCCTAGCTTAAAATCCCAAATCTGTAATCAATTCTAACCAACTTATCGTTACTATTTCAAATTGCCAAAGCTAACAACATTGATTTTTTTTCATAAAATAAAATAAGAGGAAGCTTTGATTACAGATTAGGAAATCCATCAACTTTAATTTGTCAAAATTGGTACTTCTGAGTGATCTGACCATCTTAATTTAAGAAAAGTCAACAATTAATCCAATTGGACAACATGGTTAAATCGTTGTTCATATGGAAATAAGTAATAAAAATCAACAGTTGATCAATTTATACGCAATAAATTAACAAAAATCATCGATTTAAGATCATGTGTTTCTCAACATCTAGACTAACTTCTCGGATCAAATTCTGACAAATTAAAATCGAAGACTGGAGACTAATTTATCAATTTTATTTTTGTAGAGGAATGAATTTATAATTAGACCTAAGAAAAAGTACCTGGGGAGCTCGACCGTTTGGATTACCATTCAACGCCACATTTCCTTCATTAACAACGTGTTCGCTTTCTTGTGTTTGCGTCATCAGCAAAGAAGTGAACAGAGCCGGCGTTTGTGTTAGCTGTTGTGGCAACGGCTGTATAACTTCTTGTTGAGTCACAAAACCGACGTTCGGTTCGACGTTACACACTAGATTGTCCTCATCTCCACATCCACCTTCGGCGATACCGCCTTCACCACCGTCCATGGAATTTCTTTTCATCAACTCCACAAGCTGCTTATAAATAACCTGTTTGCACTTCCCGCTGCCGCGACTTTCTTTCTTCAACGTCTCCCCGTAGCAGTCAAGACCCTCGGACGGCACCATCATTTCTTGCAAACCAGCCTCGTACAACCAAGATTCCACTGGCGGCATGACCAAATCTTGGTGATACACGTTCCAGCTCCGATCCGAGGCTTTCTTCTCCTCCAGATCGAATCCCCATGCCGAAGCCAACTCCACAGCCGACGGGCAACCAGAGAACCCTTCCACGAGGGTGCGATCGTGCGCCGCCGACACAGAGCAACTACCGTGCGCGTCCCAATCACACACTTGACAAAGCACCAGATTATCGGTCTCGCACCGAACTGAAACCGGTTCATTCCCGCAATTATCACAGATCTGAGACCGGAGATGCTTTCGAGAGAGCAGGTTCGCCGAGTGAACGTGCTGGTCGCAAAACAAACAGAGCTTCGCAGAGTCAGCTCGGCAGTAAAGAATCGCCGTTTGCTCGTTGCAGAAATCACATGGCACGGCTCCCTTAACTGCTGGAATAACCATAGTTTTTGTGATAGACAATTAAAATTTCAAAGAAAAAAGAAAAAAAAAACCCTAGCCTCGATGTAGAAGATGAAGATTAGAAAGCACAGCAGACAGCATAGCAGAGATAAATTATTTTAAATAAATAAATGAGATTTTTTCCAGCTTTTTATTACTATGATTAAACAGATTACTATTTTTGTAGGGTAGTTTGCTTCGTACTGAGCACATGACAAGTATTGGGGAAGCAAATTTGCTTTCATTTTAAATCAATATGGGATAATCTAATTTTTAGTCCTTCAATTTGACAAATTTTACAATTTTGTCCATATTTTTGTCCTCGTCATTTTCTGAATTTAGTAACTTTTTTCGTACCTAAGTGGTTAAATGAATTGTTGTTATTCTTAGGGGTCACAGATTCGAACATCAACGACTGTAAGGGTGATTGAACGTTAATTATTAAACGATTAAAATTATTTATAATAGATACGACTCTATAATATTTTTAGCTTAATAAAAAAAATTGATGAATCGATACTCTAATATTATATCATATGATAACGAAATACGGGGAGGATATGGAGGGTATGACCCCTAAAATTTTGAAATTTTGGCATTTGATCTATTGAAATTTGAAAATTTGATTATTAGGTCCTTTCAAATATTTAAAAGTTTTAGTTATTTTCTTAAAATCTATACATCGAAGAATACAATTTAACGTTAAAATTATGCACTATATAATATGTAAGACCCCTTCAAAAAATCTCTAATTGATTGTCCAAAATTGAATGTTGAAATCCATTAATAATGTCTTGTGAGTGATGGGCTCAAAATGTTACATCGTAAAATAATAAATTTAAGTTTAAGTTTAAGAACTAATATGAACAAAAATTCAAATATCAATTTATTAACTTTTTAAAATATAATCATTAAAATTTGTTTTATCCCTAAAAATATAATCTTTCTAAATTGTAATGACAAAATTTTCCAATATATTATATTCAAATTGTTTAGAATATAAGTTTACACGTGTATATTTAAAATTTGATTCTATAGATTTTAAAAATATTCCTCATCTCTTACAAAATATTTGATTAAATAATGTCAACACTGCTACTGGTTTTTAGCAATTAGGTATTAAAATAAGGATAAGAAAAAGAAAAAAGAAAAGTAAAATAAAGATAATAAATATTAACGGACAACAACCAATATTAAAACTAATAGCGTGGTTTATCAACTATAATTAAAAAGGAAGGAATAAGCTACTAGGTTTTTTAAGAGAAAACGAAGGAACAAGCTTCTTTTCAAATTTTATATAATTTATATACTTTCAATTTTTAAAAATTCGATCATGAATCAAATATGCTAAATTAAATTATGTTATTGATATTAGTATTAGTATTATGCGCAAGTTAGAGTATGATTTATGATCTCTTTGTGTCGCACTTCTTATTATTAATATTTTCTTCAATTATATAAAAAAACTTTAAATTTAGTACCATTTTAATCCTCATGTGTTTAAGTATTGATGATAACATTCTTTTTTATCTTCCAATTTATAATGAACAAAAAAAGTTGGAAAGAAAAGGAAATGAGAAAGCTACTTGACAATTAGATATTTCCAAGGACAACATTATTTGTTGGGTCCCATAATTTTTTTTTAATAATTTTGGGTAAGTATAATAGTTATATTTGTTCAAAAATAATTTTCAATCATTTAACATGGAACACTTGTACTTCTGACGTTGCTGGTGCTCACATCCGAAACCTTAAGAAATAACAACGATTCCTTACCACCAAAGTCACTAGAGTTCGTATTGGGTCCCATAAATTTATGTATAAATTAGATTAATGAGTGATATTTTATTGATCAAATATTTATATACAAATTAAGAAAAAAATCATAAAACATTTAGATTTATAAAAATAAAACTTTCTAATAATTTTTAATTCACAATATTCAAACTCAAAACCTTAAGTAGATTGTTTATTAATTGCCCTTACTGATGTCGGCACTTAAGTTATATGAACAATTCAAGTAGTTTAAATAAAATACTAATCTAATACTTAAATTTGAACATTTAGGGTCCGTTTGTTTTACGTAAAACGTTTTTCGAAAAATGTTTTCCTCATTTTTTCAGTGTTTGGTTGGAAATTTCCTCTATGTTTTCTGAAAAATGACTTACGGTCTGATTTTCCGTAAGTCATTTTCCGAACTTTTTATTTCAAATAATAAATACTCAAAGTAATTTTATTTTATGAATTGAATATTAATTAAATATTTTAAAATCATTTTAATCAAAATATTAATTATTAAAATATTTAAAATATATTTATAAATATTTCTAATAATATAATATTATAATTTTAATATTATAATAAAATAATCAATTATATTATAATAATATAAGATATTATATTTTAATTTTAATAATATATTTTAAATTATTAATAAAATTTATATTATTTATTAATTTCATAGAAATAATATTATTAAATTATTAATAATGAATAATATTATTTATATATTTAATATTAATATAATAATCTAATAATATTTTAATAATGATATTTAAAATATACTAATTAATATTTTTAAAATATAATCAAACACTATTACTTTAATAAATAATTAATATAATTTATAATATTTTTATTTCAATAAAATATGCCAATATTAATATTTTATTAGTAAAATTATAAAAATAATATTTAATAATAAATAAATTATTTTAATATTTTAAAATAATAATATTGAGTTTTATGATAAATAATATTATTTATTGTATTTAATATTTGTAATAAATAATTTTTTAAAAATTCATCAACTAGTGAGAAAAGGGTTTAAACAACATCTTTTAAACATCGTAAAACATTTTCCATAAAATGTTTTTCAAAAAATTTAATTTATTTTACAAAAAATATTTTTCAAAAAAAGTTTTCAGTAAAACAAACTGACCTTAATTCAAGTTTATATAATAAATTCAATAGTTTGATATTAAATTCAAAATTTTAATATTTTTTTAATCGAATCAAACATAAGCGGAACTAAGTGATGACATGTGGGAGCTATGCCCCTAAATTTTGGAAAATTTAGTTTTTAACTCTTAATTTTTAAAAAAAAAATAAAATTCATATTAAACTTTAAATTTTTTATTTTTTTAATTAAACGCCTCCCATAAATTTTAAAAATTCTTATTAAACCTTTCAAATTTAAAAATAAAATAATTAGACCCATTTTTCTTTTTGAAATAATGTAAACTGGACTTTTCAAAAAAATTGAAAATTTTAATTCAAACCTCTAATTTTTTAAAATTTTAAATTAACCCCTCTGAACTCTTTCAAATTTTAATTCAAACTCTTTCGTCATGTTCCGTCACTGAAATCAAATTTAAGGAAAAGACAAAATTCTCATGGAGCTTGATGATGTTGTTAAGACGTAAAGATAAGGCAAAAATGACATCCGAATCTCATAAGGTTGGATTTGTTATGTAATGAAGTTAAAAGGACCTGTAGCACTGGCTCTCACCATCTTTCTCTCCTGTGACTACGATGGCAAAAATATCAATTGAAGTGTAATATTTGAACCGAATTCAACGATAAAATTGTCTTTTCGCCTTTTGTTTTAAAAAGGGAAAATAAGCATTTTGGTCCTTTGACATGATTTTAATTCATCTTTTTTTTGTGTGTAAGATATTTCTCCATTCATTTAAAAAAATATTACTTCATATTACGATAATATTTTTTGAGAAACTATCTCATCAATGCATGAATTAATGATTGATAAAAGGTAAAAATATTACTTTTGCCCAAGTAGTAGACCTAATTTATCATTTTGATCATTATTGTATTTTCGCATTATTTTTTTCTCAATTGCATCATTCTATACCTAAACCCTCACTTAAAACCTTAAATTAAGGGTTTTAAATTAGATATTAAGGTTTAGGATTTATGGTTTAGAGGTCATGTAGTTATTATTTAGGGTTTGTGGTTATCATTTTAGGTTTTAAGCTAGGGGTAGGGTATAGAACTATGCAATTAAACAATTTTGAGAGATAAATTGATACGAAAATACGATAGAGACGAAAATGATAAATTGAATCTATTATAGGGGCAAAAGTGACCCTTAATCCTTGATAAAAAAAAAGTCTCGACAATTTCATCATTAAAGTAAGGTAAAAGGGTAACTTTTGCTTCTATAGTAGACTTAATTTATCATTTTCGTCCTAATCATATTTTCGCATCAATTTAGCCTTCGAATTTGTTCAATTGTACCATCTTATACCCTACCCTTAACTTAAAACCCTAATTTGACCCCTAACTTTAATCCTTAAAATGATGGTCATAAACCCTAAATCATACCCCCATAGCCTCTAAACCTTAAACTTTATACCCTAACTTAAACCCCTAGAATGATGTAATTAAACAACTTTGAGGGTTAAATTGATGCAAAAATACGATAAGAGCGAAAATGATAAATTAGATCTACTACAGAGACAAATGTGACCCTTAAACCTAAAAGTAATTAGTAAAATCAATCTTATAAAAGTTACATTGATGATTGAATCAATTATATAATCTAATCTAATTCGGATTGATTTATTAGTTTAATAATAATTTAGTGAAAAAATATATATTTTTAAAAGAATAAATTTAATACATCAAACCATAAGAAGGCAATTATCGTTAGTCACATGAGGAGCTTTTGCTAACCGAAATTGATAAAATGTGTAAATAATTAGGATCAAATGTGTAATTATATAAAAATATTTTGGCAAAAGGTAATTTTTGTCCCTGCAGTAGACCCAATTTATCATTTCACATCAATTTAGTCTTCGAGGTTACTCAATTACATCATTCTAAACCCTACCCCTCACTTAAACTCCTAAATTGAGGGTTTTAAGTTAGAGATTTAGTGTTTAAGGTTTAAATGTTATAGGGGCATGGTTTAGGGTTCAGGGTTATCATTTTAGGGTTTTATGTTAGGGGTAGATTATAGATTGACGCAATTAAACAACTTTGAGGGCTAAATTGATGTGAAAATACGATAGGGACGAAAATGATAAATTGAGTCTACTACATGGGCATAAATTACCCTTTTGACAAAATATTAAATATCTTAGAATCTCTTTCATCAAATGTTAACGACATGTAAC